AAATTATCAATCATTGTAATTAATAAATTATAAAATGTTCAGTTTTTATAGCTAAGGATTACAAATTCAACACAAACGTTCTCATAAATAGTTCATACTATAACCAAAAAATCTAAAAAATATATGAACACAGTTATTTTTTACAGACATTTTAAATTCAAATTTGGACGAAATTACATATTAAAAAACCTAGAATAACTATTTTAGTTATTTTGTTGTGATTGAATAATATTATTCGTGGGTACTTGAAACTTCTAAAGTGTACTATTATATATCTATGATAGTATCACGGTTTTTGTTGATGTATAACGCGTTATAAGTACCTAATGGATATTGTGATATGATTAATTTGGAATTCATTATAGGTCAATTTTTTTAATACCATAGATAAGTATATAATATGTCTTATACATACACTGACATACCGTCACCGCTCAGAATCGTTTTTCTTATACAATGATATTATATCATTGAATTCAAATTTAATACCATCCATTATACAGTGACCCACTTGTAACCTACTGTACAGCAGAGCGACACCCACTTGCCCACCTTTTTGTTTGTGATATTCTATAAATTATAGGTACGTTTGTTAGTGTTTTGTTTTGCGGTTTTTAATTTTTTTTTTTTAATATCCCTTTCCGTTATAATTACGTTTACAAATTTCAATCGTTTTTGCGAGCCCAGGGCGACAGTCGTGTCACAGCTCTCAAATCGCTTTAGGTAATAACATTTAATAACAATCTGGAATTCATGAGCAAAGGTACTCCCCATATTATGTAATATTTCACCTACTTGTTGACTTTTGTGCGTATAATATGTATAATATTGCTTAGGCATACAACCGCATCATAGGTGTACGAATTTCATTTATATTCGTCACACGCCGTTCAGATGAAACAATTTTCAGTCGCGTTAATGCAATATTGAACGTATTGGCAGGCACGGCCAGTAGGTCGCTCGTAGGTGTGCCTATAAAATATTGTAACGATGTGCCTATGAAATAATATTGTTGTGTAGGGCGCGTACCTATAATGGTTGTAGTCGTGCACATCCGTATTGCGTCGTCGTCAGAAAGCCATTTCGAACGCAGTTGCTACGAGAGGAGAATAATAATAATGTAAATTTCGGAACACCGCCATTGATTTCATGTGGATTATAGCAATAGATTACTGTCAATAATTAATAGTAATAATTTCCACTGTGTATGAACGGAAATTTGGACGAGTTTAAAGGGGAAAGGGGGTTTTATATTGTATTAAACAAAGCGTACACTTGAATACAGGCAAACAATAATCAGAATATCAACGCCATAAATGCAACTAAACATGAGGGAGAGCTTAACTTGATAATATCATGTAATCATTAGAAAGCCGTTTTTTCGGATGGTGAAATTTCTCGTTTATAAATTGGTCATCTTATTGAAAAAGTAAAAAGCTATCACAGTCAAACATATTATAGAAATGAGACGTTTTTTTTTGTTTCCAAAATATTAGTGAATTTGACCGGAAGAATGAAAATTCCTACACGATTACACGAGCAGCAATGTGGATACGAGGGTGGTGCTAGGCGATTGCCCACCCCTTGGGGCTTGGACTGTGATTTTTCAGTAATTTTAAAATGTTATAACAGTTTTAAATTTTAAAGTTACTGTATTACAATGGCTGCATTGTTAGATATTATAAATTATAAGGTAAGCATGTTTGTCGTGAATAAAACTTCATAAAATACAAACCCTTCATAATTAATATAGTATTATATTGTATTATTATTTATTGCTGATATACCAGTATCACAAAAATATTTTTTGAAAATCTCCCCCTCTTTAAATGACTTGAACAACCACTGGATTCTCTACTGCACGTTAGTCATAGAAATTACTAATTAGCAGGTAAAAGAAAGTCATGTTAGTTTTTTGTTGGCTTGTTCCCACATGCTGCCCGATTCTGGATATTTTTGAGAAATATTAGTTCCAGCGGCGTATTTAAGAATTGTTATAGGGAGGGGATGAGCCATTGAATGGCATACGTAAAAGTAGGTACAACGAATTCGTAGATATTTTATTATTGTTCTACAGACTACACCATGAACTGCTATAATTTATTATTTATTATATAATTTATATCCAATTTGATTTTAACTTCATTTAAACTACATAATATTTCAAGTATAAATCAAAAGACATATCTGAGGAAACGTGTTCATAATATTATGTCATCCATCAATTATAATTACCCTGATGATATTTTGAAATAATAAAACTAATAAAAAGTTGATTATACTCTGGTTAGTGGTTAAGTAACTGTGGTTGCTAATAGTTAATACGTGTCAATACTAGTGTTTAGGTACCTACTACCTACCATTCATAATTTTAAGATTTTATCAGTGCAGTTTGCATAAAGCAGGTACGTAAATGTGTTTAAATAATAATAAAATAAATAAATGATAATTAAAATGTAATTCATTATTTTATAATATCTAATTTTGTCACCGTGTAGGAACTTACAACTTACACATTTAATTTTTGTCAGGAACTAATTAATGTAAACCTATGTATGATTTTACATGTTCCACTCGTGTGGAATCTTATACTATATTTTATTTTTTGACTTATCCCTTTTTATCCTTTACTTCCTTCACACAGTCCAATATTAAATATTAATAATAATATAATAGCCATTGAGTCTTCATTTTCAACATCTTGGAATTAAGCAGCTGGATGTGGGCCGTGAGCGCTCAGATCATAAATTATTCATAATACTCAGAATACACTATCTAGTATCTATAATAATATATGATCTAAAGCAGGGGTCAGCAAAAGGCAGCCAGCGGTCCACATCCGGTCGCCAGATAGAAAATTAATGGACCTTTAAAAGTCCAAAAATATTTTACTTTAAGAGGGCTTTACACAGTTATCTGCTGTCTACAGATGATGTCTTACAATGTGTAACAGTAACATTACAAATTTATGCTCAGCAGCAGTGGCGTGGCGAACTAAAAATTTTCCAGAGGCATGTTACAATTAATATCCATAAATCCATAAATATAAGTATTAATGCATAATAATGTATTAATATAATATATTAACTAATTATATTTCAGATCAGTATTGACTAACTATTGAGTATATCATATAAAATTTACTGGGGAACCCACCGGCTACCACAAATCTTAGAGGCAATTGCCTCTGAAATTACCGTTCACAACTCCACTGATCAGCAGATAACTCCATTGGCTTAACAATTTGAGTGAATCGACCTATTATGAAACAATGAAACTTGATAGTAAGATACAAGAATATTATCATTGTTTGTCTGTGGGTTTAATTCCGTTTTTATGTGACTTATGAGCATTTTTAATTTACGCTATATCATATACGCATAACTTGCCAAAAAATTGAACAATCGTAAAAAACCCACATACAAACACAAATAACGTTCTTACCGTCAAGTCTCATAATAGGTCGATTCACTCTATTTTGAATATAAACGCAGCTAAACGTGATCTGATGAGCATAAATTTTCCATGTTACACACTTGTCAGACTGAGACAACAAATGACCGCGGAGCGTCCTATTAACGCTGATTTTTTTTCATTATTAATTTGTGGACATAAAATAACTTACGAAAATCAAAAAAAAAAGAACAGGTTTTCTGGACCTCGCTTAAAATGAAATTGTGTGTGGTCTAAGGGGGCTATAGCTTCCTTGGAATTTTGTTTAGCTTTAAACCCCCCCCCCCTCTTTTATACATTTTTTTAGTTAAATTTTTAGAATATATTTTGTTGTTTGCCAGAAAAATAATAGGCTATAGCCCTAATACACAAATTCATCAAGCCTCGCCTAGGCCTATGGGACGTCGAAATTTTTCTTTCGAATCGTCCAGACGCCCTTAGAAACTACAATTGCCGACCCCAGCTGATCTAAGGGTGTGTGGATTTTTATAGTAAGTTCTCCTAAGTCTACTTCGCAATGCCGGTCGACATTCAAGAGTCAAGTCGAATAATTTGAGTTTCGATCGCCTATACAGCATAATAATGCGTTATTGTAGCAGCATAATATAAATTATTATGAATGCATTGCGATTGCGATCGTATAATACTATAATGGTAAATGGGATCAAATATCACAATATATTATACGATCATTACTCATTATACGATATTATTATTATTATTATTATTATACGATTATAATACGACGGCGACGACCGGAAATACGTCCTACTCGCCGCCAAACGTTTTTACACGCCACGGCCGCCGGCACACTGTACGCACGAAAACACCTGTCACGTGATAACCGATATCATCTGCACAGCGCGCGCGCCCGCGCATGTGTGCGTGTGTATTGTGTGTGCGCGTCGGCGCTGGTGTGAGTATTATTATTCCGCCGTACCTGTTGTAGGCAGCTCCGGGGAATCTATCTATCTATCGCACGTCCTGTCGCACCGACGGCCCGATAACAACACGATATTCATGTAAATCGTCGTAGCGCATAACATTATTAATATTTTATCATTAGTCATTAGCTATATTTTCTTTTCCGGTGTCCACCTCCCGTCGCCCGTGCGGCCGTGCCACTTCCATCCACACTCGCGTTCGCACGTCACACGGACACTCGCGCGCACACACCCCCCAGTCGCCGACGGGAATTCCTACGATTTTTCCAATTTTTCTCCGGAAGATTCATCGTACCACTATTACACCAACATTACATCCGTCGTCTACCGCCCTACACCCTATATCCGCGATCGTTGTGTACCTGTACCAGTGTACCATGTCTGGTCGCGGTACGCCCGACGACGACGACGACCACCACAACCACAACAACGACAACGACAACGGCTACAGTTCGATCGACCGTTCCGAACGATAGATCCTCGAGGTGTGTGTGGCCGTCCACGTCCTTCCGCGTCCCGCACGAACCGAGTCCACACGGCCCCCACGGCACTTCCTGCCTTAACAGCACACTTTACCCGAAGTACGTACCTTAGTGCGATATTATGCCACTCGCTGGTCTCGGAGATTCGGTCGATCCTTGGAAACGAGTGTCGCTGCAAACCGAACCTAACGTAAGTGATCATTATTCTGGTAGGTTGTTGTTGTGAAAGGTTTAGGACAAAAAAAAAATTAAGCTTTTGGTACGGTGAAAGTGCACCCCACGGGTGGGTTTTGTTGGATTCTAGGGAAAGTAAACTTTATTAATTTTTGTATAATATACCTAGGTATGCTACCTAGGTATACTAGCTAACCTAGGTATGCGTCCTACTCGCTGCAAATGCTCGGTGCATTTAATTGTGGGGTTTCCGTTTCACTCAACTGCGATATTCCGGGAACTGGTTTTTTGCTCCGACATCATATTCAGTATTTTCAGTGGTTCTGTGAAACAGATTTTAAAACTTGACTATGACATGACACGTTCATCGTCCAACCTTACTAACTACACGGGTGCTCGGTGAAAATAAAAATCCTTACCTAATATGATTTAGAACTTAATTCAGAATGACAGCGTTATTTTTTTTAATTTAAAATAAATATGGTTCTTGTATTTTTGTTTACTGCTATGCCTGCCTAACAGCATTCTAATACACGCTGACAAGAAAAAAGACCCTAATTGAAATTATTATAATATCACCTATGGACAAAGGTTCCTAACAATATTTTAGTTAGTTTAAAATCTTTGTCGAAATTGAATAGGTAGTAGGCATCGGATCATAGGACTAACTCTACGACCAAAGTTTGGAATCATACATTTTTCAATTTTGTTGGCATTGCTGCATTAGGTTAAATCCATCTGAAATCACAATAAGAAGATGTGAAATTTCTGTGGAGAGAAGTACAAACAAGTAAATTTAATTTAGAAACAGTTAAACCTTTCAAAAAGATAATATTCCGTAAACAAATCAAATCATATTAACACATTGCTTATGGACTAAAAAAATATGAAAAATTATTGGTTTTTTTTATATAAAATCATTTTTATTCCATTTAATTGTTTACACATTAAAAAATTACATCAATGTAAAAATTAAAAACTTTTGACCTAAACTTTTAGTTTCTGAAAACTTTTCGGTTTAATAAAAATTTTAATTAAAAACATTTAATCAGGCTTAAAAAAATCCGGTGGTTTACATGTAAAGGTTAATTAAATAGGTGAAGTTTGTTTTTCCATAATGCATAATAAATAGGTATTACTAGAGCGTTGGTATATTTTTTATTGTCTTGTTATCGGCCATAAGAAACGTGTCGAGTAGGTAGATAAGAAAAAACAAATAAATTGAGTATCATTTGTAGGTAACAGAATATAAATATGAAATTATTATTAGTTTTAGTTCAATTGTAATCATAAATACACTAAAAAAAAAATTATACCTAGAACATAAATGAAGAGGTTTGTCGATTTTTGCCTACATTATCTCAAAGATACATTTTCTTTTGTAGAGATATAATATATTATTATTTTCTATAATTCCTATTGTATAGGTACGAAAAAAAAAAAATAATAAACTGCATTAGAGAAATTATTAGGGGTGGTAGCATTTTAGATAGGTCTTGTATCTAGACACTTTTTTTTGTTGATGTATTGTGAGGCCTTTTTCGTCTGAAGATACTAAATACGAATGAAAAAAAAAAATGTCATTGGAATTTAACAAAACAGAAAAAATTAAAAAAATTTTCAAATTCGCCTCATCTTTTTTCCTAAGCTGATGGACATAATCGTGAAACAAGTTTAAAAAGTTCTGTGTTTCGCTTCAGTATTACCTAAAACAAATTATTTTTAAATTTGTAACAAAAAACAAAATTATTATTATTGAACACGGTTGTTGGTTCAGATGTAAGTAATTGTTTTCATTTCCGACAATGCTAATCACTTGTCTCTCCGTGTCAGGGATCACGAAATGACTATAATAGTGGGTGACAAACAGAGGACATACATTATCCTGGCTCGCATACCAGCAAGAAATTTAGTATTTAAATTATTTTTTTTACTGTAGCCCATCTCTGAATATAATAGGTTAGCAGATAATACACCCAAGTCACCGATCAGTCTGTTTTTAAAAATTGTATTATATAACCTGATATAGGTATAACAATAACCGGAACAATAACCTAATCATCTAAATTATTGTTCGCTATTGGTTTTTGATCATTAGGTTTTTACGGTTCTTTTTACATACCTTGTTCGAAGAAGTATCCAGAATAATTTACAACATTAATTGTACAATTTTGAATGGTAGACTAATTGAAAAGAATAATTAATATATTTCTCTTTCGTTGTATGTTGTATTTACTAACAATTTTAAATCTATATTGTCTGCCCGCTGTTATTTACTCTGTAACAATTATCTCGTAATGTTATACAGTTTCACATTAATTCATTGATACAAATCACTAAAAATTAATATTGACAGCAACTGCAAGTTATTGTTTGTTTGAAAACTTTGTTCTTTCCAGAAGTTGAGTTTGTTTTATAGCAAATCAACAGTGTGCAAAGTAAAAAAATATCCATCTAGAATGCTCTTCATACACTTATACGTAGAGCAATGAACTTAAAGTACCCAATAAAATTTAAAACAAGAATATTCTATTTATCACTGTATTGAGTTTAAGATGGAATATGGGGTGAGTAATTTAGATAGCCACTATTTAGCCAGTAGCGGGTTATAACACGCAACTACCCACCTTGCATTTTATTTTATGTCACAAGTACTTAATATAAAATGGCTTCTTTACTGATGTCATTAGTAGGTTTCTTAATCTTAATTGGCAGCTAAGTGTGTGTAAAAATATTAAATAACAGATTTAATTTTAACAATATAATTTCACACTCAAGGCATTTTTCTTCAGCATTTAGTGTGTGGCCCTGTTCTATTATATATATCGTTTAACGTTCTTTTTATTTATTTGTTTGTATTAATTTATGTTTTAGAATCTAGTTAGCAACAACGCCATGGTTGTAGGTACATCAAAGTCAATGCCAATACCATTTAATCAATCCAATCCCTCAAGTCTGCATAACAATATAAGTATAGGACCGGATAAAGATGATGAAATCATTGATGAATTAGATGATGATCAGGATGAAAACCAAAACGATTCTGATGAGAACAGTGGTCATGAAATTGAACTAAAAGAACTTATAAAAGAGGGACATGAAAGGGCCGAACGATCTCAGTTTGAATTGTTAAAAGTTCTTGGACAAGGATCATTTGGAAAAGTTAGTTATATACATTACTCATATGAAAAACACATTTTTAAATTTTTAATTAAATATAGGTATTTTTGGTTCGAAAAATTGTTGGACCAGATAATGGTACACTCTATGCAATGAAAGTATTAAAAAAAGCAACTCTAAAAGGTATGGTTTATTTTGTTTAATTTTTGTAAGTTTTTACATTATTTAAATTATTTCAGTGAGGGATAGAATAAGAACAAAAATGGAGCGTAATATATTAGTTGATGTCCGACATCCATTCATTGTGCGGTTACACTATGCGTTTCAGACTGAAGGTAAACTTTACCTCATTTTGGATTTTTTACGTGGTGGAGATCTATTTACAAGGCTTTCTAAAGAGGTATGTTATATTCAATTTATTTTGTACTAAAACATTTTTTACTGTAATATTTAACCACAAAACCAAATATTGAAATATATTAAATATATATAAATGTATTTTAGGTTATGTTTACCGAAGAAGATGTTAAGTTTTATTTAGCAGAATTAGCATTAGCTCTTGATCATATACATAGCCTAGGAATTATTTACAGAGATTTAAAACCTGAAAAGTAAGTGAAAAACTTAGATTTATTCATACCTATTAGTAAGTTATTGATTAAATAATAAATATGAATATTGAAACTATCCTTTATGTTAGCATATTGTTAGATGCTGATGGTCATATATCCTTGACTGATTTTGGTCTAAGCAAGTTACCTTTAGATGATCAAAAAGCTTATTCATTTTGTGGAACCGTTGAATATATGGCCCCCGAAGTAGTAAATCGAAAAGGTCATTCGTTTGTAGCTGATTGGTGGTCATTTGGAGTGTTGATGGTAAATCGTGCAGTTTTGACATTTTAAATATTGTGAATTAATAAACTTTTTTTTTAGTATGAAATGTTAACTGGATCTTTGCCTTTCCAAGGCGCTAATCGTAAAGAAACAATGTCACAGATATTGCGCGCCAAACTTGGTATGCCACAGTTCTTGTCGAATGAAGCTCAAGCTCTATTACGTGTACTTTTCAAAAGAAATCCTAGTAATCGTTTAGGAGCTTGTAAGTGACAAAAAAATTACATAATAACTGTACGAGAAATAGTATCTAATCCTTAATCATAGCTTATATTATATTTTATTCTAGCTGGCATTCAGGAACTGAAAGATCATGCATTTTTCGCATCTATAAATTGGGACAACCTATACCATAAAACAATCCATCCACCGTTTAAACCAGCTGTTAGTAGAGCTGATGATGCATTTTATTTCGATAGTGAATTTACTTCTAAAACTCCCAAAGGTTTAAATTTAAATTATTTTCGAAAATATATAAAAAAATAATCATATCAATTTTAGACTCTCCATGTGTTCCACCAAGTGCTAATGCCCATGAGCTATTTCGAGGATTCAGTTTTGTTGCTCCTTGTTTAATCGGTGAGGAGGACATACTAAATCTCCAACAACCATCCACAATACCCACTAAAGCTACCGAACCTTATTCAAAGGTAAAATAAAAACTGAATAAATAATATCTTAATATGATTCTAGAATATTTTCTAAATGTATACAAGTACAAGATAATAAAAGCTATAATTTATTATAAATTTAATAATATTTCTTTTTTTTATAATCATAGTTACCTTATGCTAAAAGAAATGCAGCTGATGAATATGAATTCAAACATGAAATTGGCCGTGGTAGTTACTCTTCATGCAAATTATGTGTTCATAAAACTACTCGTATTGAGTATGCAGTTAAGGTGAGAATATTCATCATAGTGATATTAGTATTTATTGTTTAATTAATAAATAATTTATGTTTTTGTTTTGTTTTAGATAATTGACAAATCGAAAAAAGACTGCCAAGAAGAAGTTGAAATTCTTCTACGTTATGGTCATCACAATAATATAGTTACATTAAGAGACGTTAGTATTTTAAAACACCTAATAAAACAATTTTAACAACATTCATTTTTAACATTGAAAAATATGTGACTTAAATATTTAATTTCTGGCTTAGAATTATTTTAATTTTAATAATTTTAATTGAGGAACTCAATATCCAATACTTGAGCTAATTTTGAAATAAATTGTTTGGTTGTTAAAATTTTAGATCCATAATATTTATTTAAATTTCATCCAAATTTTTATCATCTATTTATTTATCATTCATTTTTTAACAAGGTTTATGAAGATGATAAGTCTGTGTATTTAGTGATGGAGTATATGAGAGGTGGAGAGTTACTTGACAGACTTCATAAGTTGAAATACTTTTCGGAAAGAGAAGCTAGTGCCATAATGCAAGTTGTAACTTCAACTTTATGTTATTTACATAAAAGTGGAGTAAGTTATTGTTTATTGAAATAATACTTTAAAAAAAGACAAATTATTCAATATTTTGTTTATATTTTTATTAAGTTCAGTATTGGTAATATGTACTTGGTTTTAATTTAAGGTTGTGCATAGAGATCTAAAACCATCAAACATTCTTTATGCTACTGAAAGTGCATCGCCTGAGGCTTTGAGAATATGTGATTTTGGTTTTGCCAAACAACTGCGTGCAGATAATGGACTTTTGATGACCCCTTGTTATACTGCAAACTTTGTAGCTCCCGAAGTTTTGAAAAGACAAGGTTATGATGCTGCTTGTGATATTTGGTCCTTGGGTGTACTTTTGTTTACATTACTAGCTGGGTGAGTATTGCCCAAACTTTAACAGTGAACTTCACAAATTGACTTATGTTCTATGCAGACATACTCCATTTGCTAATGGACCTGAAGACACGCCAACTGAAATTCTAAATCGCATTGGCAACAGTAATCTAGATTTAAAGTCTGGCAACTGGACAGTAGTGTCTGCTGAAGCTAAGGTACTATTTTTGTGTTTTGTAGCAGTCTCGTATGTATTATTGAATAAAATTTTAAATTCGTGTTTCAGGATTTGGTAAAAAAGTTGTTACATATAGATCCTCACCAAAGGCCAACAGCTTGTCAGGTTTTATTAAGTCCGTGGATAATGAATCGAGATAAATTACCAACGCATCAGATACAATTGCAGGAATCGTACAAGATAAAGGTTATTCAAATAATTGCACATGTTTTCACTGTAGTGTTTATAAAAATGTTCTGTTTTGGTTTCAGGGGGCAATGGAAGCAACTTACCGAGCAGTTAGTCAGTCACCACCAACCCCTAATTTAGGACCAGTAGTTTTAAGTCAGCTGGCTCAAAGACGACACAAGTCACGTACTAAATGATACTTTATTACTACTTATCATACATTACACTATATATTCCTTTTTATTCTATTTCTATAACTTCTATATTTATCTTATATTGTATACATTTGATATCATATTTCAATTTTAAATTAAATTTAGCATCTTTTAATGTATTTTAATATTTTAAAAATATCTTTTCGACTTTATAATATTATTATCTAAATTATTCTATTAATTCTCAAAGTTCAGAGAAAACTTGTTTGTTTACCGCGGCACAAAAGGTATGTAAGCAACATGCTAACATTGACAATATAAATGTAATGGACTTCAATTATTATTATATTATATGTATATACTGTTAGTGACAAAAGCTAGATGATCATCAATTATCAAGTCTGACGTTATGGTGTTCATAACATTATTTTTTACAATTGGTTTATTCACATGTGCTTATAATAAACAGTATTAAACATTCCTAGTAAGTTTGTTGTTATGTTTATTAATTACATTTACAAAGTATACAAGAATGTAATTATATTTTTTATGTTTAAAAATATACAAATTTGTTAAAAGTATTAAATTGTATTGTTACAGAATGATTCTCTCTCATATTACATTTTTTTACTGGCTTATATAACAGTGTATATGACTGCCAATGGCTAATATTATGCAATAAGGAAATGTCATTGGTACATTTCATAGTTTAGTCAATTTGTATTAATTAGTAATTAGTTTAGGTAATTAAATAAAATTACTACATATTTATATTTTAATTTAAAATGTACTTGTATTAATATTTTGAAAATCTGTATTATCAAATAAGTTTTCTGATAATTCAGGTTTAAGAAATATATTATGTATTTGATATGGTTCATTTGTTTTCTCAAACAATTTGTTGTTATTATTCCTGGAAACTTATACTTCCAACCATTTGTAATTAAGGTTTTCGATATCCAAACCATTACATAATTTTAGATTCATATAATGAAGCGATAAATGCATTTGTTTTACAATGGTGTTTTTATTTTATTAAAATATTTTTGTGTGTCATCACTCATCATCCTTTGGCACAGTAAAACTGCTTGAATGTTAATCTTGAATATAATTTCTGGTTTGGAAGATTATTTTTAGTGATACTTAAGGGAGGCCTAACACAAGGTTAGGCTAGGTCAAGGAAAAACCGGAAATCAAGCACCATATATTTGGAAAAAAATCAACGGATACTTTATTGAAAGTATCAATAGCAGACTTTGGACACTCATTCTGAGGAACTTTTTTCCATTTTTCTATCCATACTTTTAATTCTGATTCAAAATATGTATTGTAACTGGGTAAAACATGTTTATAAAAGTCTATACATTTTTCAAAATCATTATAACTAGGTTTAAATTTGTTGAGGAGATTTGGAATCAACTTTTGTAATACAGAAATAATTTCATTGTGTTTAGAAAATCGGGGTTTGACCCCCCCCCCCCCCTATATACGCCACTGAGCTCAGTTAATATATTATTATAAGGTGAAGTTTTATCAATAGCAAGCTTATTTTTAAATCATCACACCTTTAAAAGTGCCAACTCTATATGATTCAAACTTTGTTCAATTCGTTTATTTAATATTTGGTGTGTGATGCTCAAAACTAAAAAATGTTCATCGATCACCTTCAATCTCAAAATAATAAATTGTTCAATCACCGCTTTAAAATTCGAATTTTGGAAGATGCTATCTTAGTGCGCACTTCCACTTACGAAGGTACCTACCGTGCAAATTGCAAGCCTCAAGCTATCATTATTTAGGATCTACGTCGATCGGTCGGGACACGTTCGATTATATTATAGCCATCCCACCCCGAAGTTGCCCTTGATATACCCTTGTGATTATGGGAGCAGTATATTTTCAGGTAAATATTGCAGACGAGGTGCTTACGTAATTACGAATTTTTTATTAACACGTTGTTCATGATGTGTAGGTTCCAGGGACAACGGTCGAAAAGTGTGCCAATAGGGAATACCATTTTTACTAAGTCATATAGTTTTGACCGAATATACTATAGGTACAGGTCTATAACTATATTATTCAATCATAATCAATAGCATCCTTATACTATAAACAAAAATATATTTTTATGTACCTGTTTATTTTTTGCTGGACAGCCGACGCCACTTGTATTTTTCCATCCAGTTTACTACCTTTTCGGTGGATTTTCGTAAAATGTTCTTTCATACAATAGGTACTTGTTCTGACTATTACGAATACAACAGAAAAAAAATCGGTCGAGCAAAAATAATAAAATAACAGTAAAGAATATAGTATCATTGAGTATAGATTTACCATCTATACTCAAACTAGTCAAACTCAATGATAGTATGTATAAAGACTACGTCTGCCCATAGAGTATAATGTATATGTAATTATGTATAAAGTTCATCTGTCCATAGAGTATAATGTAAGGACAACGTTTATGATATTAGTGCAACGGTACCTATCGAGTTCAAATCTCATATATAATTACAATTTTTTGTCTTATTCCGTAGACTTTTCAAAATATTATTTCATACAAACTTTGTCTTGACAATAATTATTACGAACAGAACAAAAAAAAAAATTATTGGTCGAGCCGTTTTTTAGTTTTAGGGAGTCTATCGGACAGCAATTCATTTTTTTATATATAAGATGGGAAAAACTAAAAAAAATAGGTAAGACTTGATTTTTTACACAAAACAAGTTTTCGACATCATCGATTTTCTTTTTTTTTTGTGATTTAAAAACGAATAACTGTAGATACTTGACATTTTCATATTATCATTTTCTATACACGGTGTAAATTGAATACACTATTTGACTCTTTTTGAGCTATTTGTAGATATTTGAAATATTTGATAAGAAATAATGTATGCTATATTGCTATGTAAAAAAACTTAAAAATGTTAAACAAGGTTCGTTATAAGTTTGTAGTACTGGAATTGAAATTGACAGTATTTTATAATGCAGTTGATGCTTTAAAATAAAATTTTTCTATCATTTATATTTTATAAATATTGTTTTATGACACCTCCACTCACCTTCCTCCCACTACCAATACCAAAGTCACGAGAATACGCCTCTAAATAGAACACATTTTTGTATTTAAACATTATACGTGTATTATAATTTATAGGTATACCATACTAAATATCTGTATTTTAAATTTAAAAAAAATACACAATAGATATATAAACGCCATGGTAGGTAGATAATACATACTGAACCAAAAAAGTGGTGGTAGACAACATATTATATTGAACCACAGCCAATATTATTAATTGTCAAGGTAGGTATTAAGTCGACAGAAGAAGGACATTTATAGCCATTAGAAACTTTCCCTACCTATAGGTAGGTACCACAATAAAACAACTGCCAAGTTTTTTAGGTTTAGCAAACTATACTTTCGTACCTATATATTTATTCCAAATATTAGAAAATTACAACACACCTTCGCTATCTTTCAATATCAAGTGACTGTCAATATTTATATAGGTACCTAATACTATCCAGTTAAGGGGTAATTGCTTAGCTATTCCCGCTACATGAACCGGGTTGTTAAACTAATATCAATAAAGATTTCAAAGTTATATATATTTTACAGGTCCTAGAAACTATTTTGATCTGCGTTCAAAAACGAACATGATCGAAAACGATATAGCAACAGAGGCACAAAGACAAAGGCTTATCAAATGTTTGAAACAGTAATACGACTATACAGTGCACAGTCGCCTGACCCTGTTCTAGAGGGTAGTATCACAGAATATATTTAATATTCAATATATTTCATATATTTTGTGGTAGTATATCGAAGAATGAAGATCACAGGAATAGCTGTGTGTACGGTTTGAAACAATTTAATTGTTATGATTTATATATTTATATTTATTTATTAGGTATACCTACCTAGGTTATTACATCTGTCAGGTTTATTAAACAACCAGAATTTAATTGCCTACTATGATTTAATTTTTAAGAGGTAGCTCATTTATACACAATATAGTAAACGGATTTAATTCAAAAACCAGAATTTTAATAAATGCTTATTAGTTATTGTAGGTATATTTCAAGGTGGTACCTACACTGAAAGCAACGCTCAATTGCAATTTCTAAAATTTCATATGCACTTACCGTGCACCTTTACTATAACATTGATATCACACCTGCAGTCACTAAACTGCCTACGTATATATTATTATGTTATAGTCTATACTATAAATAATGGAGTAACACTACAACAGAACACAGTTCCCATAACACAAAATTGAATATAAAATTAATTATTTAATATTATATAATAGCATATCACCCGACGAATGGTAATTTATTCTCTTGAACTACATTTTTATTAAAATTAAAATGTATACATAAATTAATAGGAGTTTTTAGATCATCTATAGTTTGATAGCTAATGATTTTATTAAAGTTCTAGATAGGAGGTACCTACTGAATAATAGCAAATATGACACAAAAATATTTTTTTGTGGAGATACAAATAGTAAAATTTTAAATAATAATACGGAGGTCTCAAGATGTTTAAATATTTTTGTTTCTTATATTACCCAATAAACTAGAGTGTATAAAAATTCTAAGTAATAGTCATATAGGTATAGTTCATATCATATTTTTACTAATAGGTAGGTATTATTAATTATATATAATTTTAAAATATAATATTATTATACAATATAATTCACACAATAATTTGAGTGGTCAATGGATGAAGGTGTTAACTGACATTTTTTCAAAAATTCATTTTATTGCATGAATAAGGGTGTTATAATGTCACAATTTGATAAGGTTTTATTTAGTGGTTACCAATAATATTTATGGTTACCTACGTGTTATAAAAAGAATTGATCATTAATTGCAATGGATAAAAGTGGTAGGCATCTCCTAATGTGATAATATATATGTTAACTTGAACAATTCCAAAAATGTTAGTTAACACCTTCATCCATTGACCCCTTCAATTATAGTACCTATATGGCTATATATATATATATATAATATTATAC